ACCCAGTACATTCAGTAATGAAGGAAGCTGGTTTAATTAAGATCAAGGCATTGGAACAGTTGTGTCTGTTTGTATTGCAGTTGTGGTTCATGCGTTTATACAGTAGTTTATCTGTTACTGTGCTTTTAACGAGGACCAAAGTAAATCACGCGAATACTGTACATGTACTGTACATGCATCTTCTGATTCTGTAGGGACAACATGCAAAGTCAGATCTTGCTCTCTTGGAATCTATAATTATGTATGTATTCTGGCAATGTGGAAGAAATGTTGCTCAGCTAAATATAGCTCCACATGAGTTAGCTTTCAATGGCTTCCTGTTGGCAACTCTCTATTTGACAAAAACAGGTTTTGATTTGAGTGGTTCAGTTTCACTCTCATGTACTCTCACAAACATGTGCACAGCAGTTGTACACTCTGCTTATGAATTGCCTGGGAAAGCATGTTTCCTCTCCTATTTCAAAAATGTATTTTTCTGCTTTTATTGAATAAGAGCAAAAACCCAAAATACATGTAAACCAGGAGGACTGAAAGAAAGCAAACACCCCCATAAAAAATTGCTAACCTACCGGTACATGCATACATGTGTGCAGTACCAGCACATGTAAAAATCAAGGCAGATCTAGGACCAAATTTTGGGGGGCCCAAATTGCTTTGGGAGGAGCCAAACATTTGGGAATTTTTTTTAGATCACCTTTTTTGACCATTCTTGGGGTTGCTTTTTACACGCTCATGGAAGGGAAATGAAATAGACCCGAAACTGTTCCTCTCTCACTTGTCATAAAAAAATGAGGGGAAAACCTTGGCCCTCACTGGCTGGAATTGAATTTAGACCAAAAAAGAAAACCCCTGATAAACCAGCAACATGCTGAAATTGATCATGTCGCCATGGTTACACGTGTACCTTCAAAATCTGCAAGTGAAAACTGATTAGAACATTGTGAGGAATGTGCCGTGCCCAAAGCAATGGTCGCTGAATTAATTTACAAGGACGTCAAGCAAACTGTTAAATTATGCAACTCGCCACTTACATTTTACATGGTGTTTTGCACCACAATGATGAAGTTCATATACCACAAGGTTTCCCCTTTCAGTTAAGGCTATTTGTTCCCCGTGAGCTTTATAGCTGAATTTCCACAATGCAGAGATGGTAGACTTTATAATGCCAAATGTTACATTTATTCAGGGATCGAACAAAAGTGCAATCTGTGCATATTTATGTTTAACATGAACTCCTATAGGTACATGTACTGTATGCTGCCAATGAATGATACGTGTACATGTACATAGATGGTACAGTACACCAAAGGTAACCAATTGTAAAACTGCAGATAATGTACTGGTACGAACCTACCGTTACAGCATGAATAGACGTACAATAAGAGGACTTTCCTGTGGCTCCTCCCCCCCCCACAACCTTTTACCATTCGATCTTACGGTACCAGGGGTCAATTTCATTGAGCTGCTTAAGCACAAAGTTTGCTTAAAAGCACAAAAAAAACCTTGCTTAAAAAACAAAGGTTACCAGCTCAAAATCTATACATGTGATTGTCATACTAACCAAAAGACAGGTGGGTACCATTCCAAACCAATATATGTGTACATCACATGGATTTTGGCTGGTAACCTGATTTGTCAAGCAAGGATTTTTCACGCTTAAGCAAGTTTTGTGCTTATAAGCAGCTCTACGAAATTGGCCCCTGCAACTGACATGTACATTACCTGGCAGCTGAGGACATGGTGGTATCAGTGACACTCTGCATCTACATTACACACACCAGTATTATCTTCCCTACAATGTATTTATTCTTTTGTTCTATATCCCACTAAATGAAAACACCGGTAACCACATGTACATGTACAGTATGTACAGAAGTGCCATTTCCTTCGTCTAAACATACAAACTGTACATGTAGGTACAGTATTTGGAATACGTGTGGACGACTTTGAGATGTTTTGTCTGATTTTACAACAAGTCAACTAACTTCAGAACATGTACATGGTACCCGTATCACACCTCATCACTGTGAAATTTGATTCCGATTGAATTGCGCGTACATCACATATACAATGTACATGGCACATTAGACAGTACCGTACTTTAATACTGGTGTGTCCATATGTGCAGTGTATCCGTGCACTCTTTAATGTAAAGCACTCAAAAAAGAAAAGAAAAATAATCAAATACATGGATGTACACATGTACCGTACCGTACCGTATATACAGTGTAGTCCCTTATTTGTGTAAACAATTTGTAATCTAATTCCAACTGCTATAAAAAAACACACTCAGACTTCTGGCTTTACAATTCTATCCAAACGTGTGAATGACGGCATTCATCTTCCAGCTGAAATGATAATCTCTCTTCCTGAATGCAATCACAATCCCCTCCCCTTATTTCATATACATGTACATGCAGTGTATTATTACGGAGCCCCTAATGGGACATGTACCTGTACGTAAAAGGGACAATTTGTACTACATGTACATGTACCGGTATGCCTGAAGCAGACTTAGGACTTTGATAATGACTGATCACATTAATTAACGAGTGTGACTTTGCTTACAGTGTCAGAGTTCCGTACATACCGGTACATGTACATGTAAATCTAAACACATTAGATGAAAGGCAAAGCAATGATCTGCACCAATACGGTAGATGTGGGTAGGCCTTGCCCAAGTTACGGGAGGTGATTTCTTTTGTGACGGAAGTCCAGACCAGGGATACAAAAATGTATCACAGCATTTTTGGTCCCCATAACACAAACACATGTCATCCCTACAGCCTGGTAACAAGTACGAATATGCATACATGTATATGCGTTTACATACACACACGTACATGTACATGTATATATTATGTATTACCCCCAAAATTGATCTACTGTAGGAACCGGTACACAAAGGGTGAAATTACCGTCAGGCAATTCAACTTGTCTTTTGGAAACAAAAGCGACTGACAGCAACCTTCACAAAACACAGACTAATGGCTGGTGTCTGGGCATCAATTCTGACTAATTTCACCTCCATAATACACATGCTTATAATGTACATGTATCTGTACCTACATTAGCACATTGGGTACGAGTACATGTAGATGCTCCCTAAACCTGGTCATAACTTTCAACTATTTTCCCCTCTTGGAGATGACACAAGATGTGGTTGCTGACATAATGAATGTGATGACTCCATAAAGGCCTGTTACTTAATTTAACCCTAATCCCCTAGGGTATATGTAAAATCACACAGAAATTGGAGGATTTGGGACTGGTAGGGATAGCTATCATACAATTGGGGAGAAGATAAATACAGTAGAATACACTCAGCATGAACCCAAATGTGTTGAGATAAAGCAACCTCGGGCTAATTTCATAGAGCAAAAAACCCTTGCTTAATAAACAAAGGTTACCAGCTCAAACTCTCTGTGATTGTCAGGCCAAAAGACACGTAAATACCATTCTAAAACAATATACATGTACATCACAAGAAGTTTTGGTTAGTAACTTGAATTGTCAAGCAAGGTTTTTCACGCTTAAACAAATTTTTCGCTTAAGCAGCAAAATGAAGTTGGCCCCAGTATTACTGCTAAAATTGTCTCCAAAATAATGGGGGGGAAGGAAGTTATAGATCTGTTGAAGCCCTCGCCGAATGAACTTGACTCGGTGTTAATAACGACTTCCCTGCCAAATGACTGTCCCGGACATGTGCTGAATGTACAAACAATGTACCAGTATGTGCCTACTTCGAGCTTGACACGACTGCAGCGCTTTGACTGATGATGATGCATTCTGGCCACGAGCTGAGTGGGTGTTGGTGGGGGGGGGAGATGGCAGGAGAGACCCTGGATGATAATTTATGCTAATCACTTTGACATTAAAAACGATCAGGAATTGGCTCAAGCTCAAAGTCCCAGTGGAGCTTATTTGCAATATGCTTCTGGGCAGAGAGGCTGCTGGAAATATCCTTTTTTTATATTTTAAAAAAAAAGGGGAAATCGTCGATGAGGACTGGACGCAATGCTGTGTCCCTGCTAAAAAAGAAAGCAAAGATGATCTACAGGATGTATGCGTGTACATGTACCGGTAAATGCATGGAAATCTGAAACATACTGGATTTTAGATGTCGATGGTCCTGTGTGCAATGTGAAATTGATTTTTGCTGGAGAAAAAAAATTCAAATGATAAACTCGGCATCATTTTACAGGATGTCTGAAAATCAATCCACCTAAATTAAATGTATGTAACTTGTAAGGTGATGTAGATAATTTCCTTGTGCAACCTATACAGCCAGCGGCACTGCCTTCAATTTTGATACCATCTTCAATTTTATCTCTGTCATTTACCTCCACATGTACGATACACGTATGTTATTGACCACCACCCCTAAATGCGCCGTTCCTGTTTTCTGGGAATGCTCCCAGAATTAGTCTTCTCGTAGAAGTACCGGTACATGTACCAAGCGTAATGAACAACTGTGAAAATATATATTGCTTCTCGCATATCACCAGGATGTAGTTGATGTAACTCGAATCACAGTGTCCTTCCAATACCTCTTGGTGATTGAATTTTTGGGGGGAGGTGGGCACTGGCTTCCATGCAAATCTACTGAATTATTGAAATGTTCGCACAAGCTTACAGTAAAGACAGAAATAATGGACAAGAAATCTAGCAGCGGCATTTTAATCACTCTGACTATTGGTGACATGTACATGTATGCTGTCATTCACAAGCTACATGTACCAGAACATGTCTTGTTGTGACAAGAATGTAAGGCTTTCCTCACAAGGACCAATTCTGCTAATTGCATAAAAAAAACCTCTGCACTCAAGATCAGATTCTTTGCGACGTATGATTATCCGCAGTAAACCATGAGAGAAAGAAGACAAGATTCATCAGGCTGTCGGCCATAATTTCTGACTTCCACGACCGGATATAGTGTAAAGGGGAAGGGTGGAAAATTTAGCAGGGGAACATGACTGAACCCCAGGGGTCTCCCTCACCTGTGAAAGGATGTCCGAGACAATTTCCAGTGGCACTTGATGAACGGCCTGGTCTTGAACACAGGTTGTCAGTGTCATGTCTACCATCGCCTGCCAAAGAAAGAAAGAAAGACAAATGCATGTGTGTACACTGTCCACTTTCTACCTCTTTCGCTCACAGAGCCAAGAAAATACAATTATTAATCATTAGTTAGGACCACAGCAGATCCGTCAGCGATGTTGTACATGTGCATGCAAATGTGAAGGACTATAGGCCTACTGCATGTATTAGCAAGAATGTGCAGGTACATGTGCACACAGGTCCATGCACAGTGTCTTGTTTGGAAACGCACATGTACATGTACAATATTTCCGGTCTTACAATTTACATACATGTACCAGTGAAGCTTGTCTGAGGGGATGGTATTACTGTGGTGACACAAAGTTAAGCTTTTTGCAGGAGGGGGGGCAAGTGACACCACCCTGTCAGTCAAAGAGGCACTCAATGTACACGTACGAGCATGGCATAAACTGCAGTAATAGCCTCCGATTCTGATCGCTAGATTTTATGGACTATGAGAGTGCACGATGAAATATTTCTCCGAGACAACTAGATTTTTTTTCCATTCTTGTGCATCTGGTAAAATTCAAATTTCAAAACAATTTTGAGGCAAGCAGCTGATCATGTTACACTGAGATAGATTCAATGTCTTGATGTCCTGATGATTAACTTATGCACGCAACCTCCAGATAGATAACATTTTTTCTTTTCAAATAATTTTTGCCAGTGAAGAAACTGGAGTCAATTCCGAGTGGAATCACACAATTCAGGATAGAATCAGCATCAATTCCAAAAATGCTGTGATCGCCCAATCCTACTGACTATATACAGATGCACACACAATGCCTACAGTGTCTGATTCCGTCACTCGATATGACCAGCATCACCACGCCTGGCCATTTTGAGAAACACAAGCAGTGATCCACGCTTGCAGATCTCAGGGTCAAAACACTACAATGGAAGAGTAGGAAGTTGTAGGCCTACATGTAGACACATGTACATGTACCGGTAGCTCTAAATCAAGATTTGAGCAGCACCCAACAGTCTGGCTGAGACGGCCACGATGGGGGGGGGGGGGGAAGGGGGGATAAAAAGCTGCGGAAGTCAATTTCCC